TGACGTAATAATATTTTTATGAGTTCTGAAATATAAAGTTACTTATGTTGTGTTCATGTTATTTCAAGATGATGGATGCGAGACTGAAATAATTTCGTATATGTAAAGAGGATACTCATAAATGTCTTAGTGAAGGGGCGCGGGAGATTGTTTAGGATGGGTTTAAGAAGTGGTAGAAGTCGATTTACTGAAAAGAAGAGAGGTGTTTAAACGGGACATGATACGCTGAAGCTTCGCATAGACATGATCCGTAGTTGAGAGCCATTTAATTTTCCTTATTATTATTATTGTTATTGTTACTCTATCTCCTAATATCTTATTATTTAATTTTATTATAACTTACTTTTTATTATATTATTATTCTTTTTTTCACTATTTTCTACTTGACTTCTTCATTATATATAGTATTTCCTTTTTCTTACTAATTTTGATGTATTTTAATTAAGTCGAATATTTATAAAAAAAAATAACCTCTTTGCTTTCATATGATACGAATAAAATTACGTATACGTTACCCTCTCCAAATCAAACCTCTGAAATTACATTAGTACTTAGTTATGTGTACCAAACGACATAATTAGTACTAATCAACAATTTAATATATTTTTCAGCCAAATGACAAATTATACTAGGTTTTTGGTCGGGTGGTTAAGGAGAATTAGCAAACATTATTATTTTTTCAGAGGATAAATTATATTGATTTGATAATACAAATAAATTTTATTATTTTTTGGGGGGGAACCAAATAAACACAATCAATTCCTTTTTTTTCTTCTTATTTTTTCAAAAAGAATCAAATAAAATAATGTGTTCTTACTGGTGGTTAGAAATTAATGAATTAATTGTTACACAATAATAAAATCAAAGAAAGATAATTAAGCACAATCTCAAAATATAGGAAAAATATCATATTACTTGTACAAACAATTAGCTAGGAAGGTTTTATAAAATAATTTGCTCTAAAATAAACCTTAAAAAGGGTTTAAAATATACACAAATCTTTTTAAATGTACACTTATTCTAAAAAGATTCACCCCTTGATCAAGATAAATGACCAAAGGAACCTTTACTCAAGAAGGAGATAGTGGATCGTGGTGATAAAACACTTGAAATTTAACTTGATAATATTTTTTTTTTTGAAAAATACAAATAAAATTTCACATTAGTCTAGTTGAAACTCTTGCAAATCTACATATAAAGTGTTATAGATATACGAATTTCATCATCTGAAAGTGTCTAATCAAATATTATCACGTATAAATTGAAAATTGAATGATGTATTGACTAATTGTAAGACAAATAGATAAGCCTTTTTACTTCAAAATTTTCAGAGCCCATTTTGGTAGGTGACATACAAAAGCATCAAATCAAAGGGGGGGAAAAAATCAAGAACCAATGTCAAAGGCCATATATATTGTATTTTTCTTGTCATATTGAAGCTGAATTCAACTTTAAAAAGCTGAACCCATCACTTATTTTATGAAAAAAAATGTCTTCTAGCTTTTGTATTACTTCTTCTATTACTCAAGATAACAAGTGCATGAATTTGTTTGTTTGTTTTTTGGAAGCTTCTATGATTTCAAGATGCTTTTGAAAGTTTGAGAGGTCTACCGACAAAGATCGTGGTGGAGTGGTAACTGATAAGTACTTATTCATCCTTAATTAGACGTGACAACTTTGAGTCCCTCTATGTATAAAGTCGTCATAGGGGACACTTTACTTTTGAAACTTTTCGAATGCGAATTTAAATTTAGTCAGACTCCGATGTATACACCAACCAACCGAATGGATTTATACTGATAGTATCTTGTTGATTTGCTGTCATGTTATTTCGCTATCATGCTTCAAATATTTTATATTTACGCGGAGTGTTTCTCGAAAAAAATCTTTCTATCCTATAAAAATAGGGGACGAGGGGTAATAAGACATATCACGTTTTAATCTATCCTTAATCAGAAATTTCGAATTTAAATCTTTGTAGTAATAGAAATATTTTTGTTGAGAGCGACGCTTTTAACAATTAGCATTGAAATGTGTGAATAATAATATATTGAACCTTAAGACGAATACGGCGGATAAGTTTTTACCTTAGAGAGTAATAAGATATATTACATTTTAGTCTATCCTTAATCAGAAATTTCGACTTCAACTCCTTATAAAAATAGAAATATTTTTGTTGAGAGCGACACATTCAAAAATAAGTATTGAAATGCGTGAATACTAATTTAATCGAACCTTAAATGAATATGGCAGGTAAGTTTTTACCCTAGAGAGGTTAAAAAGATTGAGGTTAATGCAGTACTCTCCAAGGTAAATAGTTCCTTGCTAAGGCAGTAAACTGCTGAGCAACAGGACATAAATGTAATGACAAATATTCCAAATATAGGAAAATTTAATTTATTGTTATTTACATATAAGAACATGGAAAAAGTGACAATTTTACCTTTGTCTTCCCATCTTGAATCTCACATTTCAAAAAAAGATTTAAAAGGATTCGATCATACGAGTCTATTGTACGCAACATTATAATATTGTATTTCTATAAGAAGTTATTTTCATGGCTCGAATCTTTGATCTCTTAATTATATGAACAATAACTTTATCAGTTACCCCAAAATTCCCCTTAATTATTAATTTTTATTATGTTTAAGTTATATATATTGATAGTATAAGAAAATGTTTATACCATCAAGTCATCTTTATTTGTTATAGCAGATAATCAATTTTATTTTAAAATTATAAAATTCACATGTTTATTTGTTATAGCAGGTAATCAGTTTTATTTTTAAAATTATAAAATTCACGAGTGATCTAATTGTGGAAAGAAAAAACTAAGGACGACTACAACATTTAAACTCTTTTTAGTATATATATAATGAGTTTATGTTTTTTTGCACCCATTGACCCTTAGAAAATTTATAGATAATTGCCCTATAAACACGTGTAACTCTTCGTATCGAATCTGATATAATAATATTAAAAATAAGAGTAATAATAACTTGTTCAATACACTCTTTTATTTCTCATGATGGGAAAGTGTACTCAAGGAGTTTCTTGTTTGGAGTTTTAGTAAAATTCTAATATCAAAGACTTTGGAAATTTCATATTTTTGGAGATATTATTATGGTTTTTGTTACTTGGGAAAGTGATTAAGTGGAGTAGTTGTATTGCTTCTTTTGCAATTCCATTGGACATTTATTGACAAATAGTAGTCATTTTGAGTCTTTGGGATATGTCTCAAAATATTTGGGTAAAATGTTTTTTAGAACAAAAATAATTCAATCTTTTGTTGTTTTAATGTTTTATACTTAGGGTTTGTTCGGACGTATAGTATGAAATCATGATACGAAGTTAAAAGCTTTGTTTGAATATGTAATATAAATTTTTCTTTAACTTTTATATAATCTTATCAAATGAACAAATTATAATTTGTAAAACAAGATATCAGAATATCCTAGTCACATTTATAAATTACATATTTTCATATTTCTTTTATAAATAAATATAACAAACTTTTAAACACACATAATTTTATAAAAAAAATGATAACAACAATAGTAACTAGTTATTTTTTAATATAATTCTTTCACGTGCTGATATGAATAATCTCCTTTTGTAAAATTTATTTATTTTTTGAAATCCCAAATTAATCATTTTTTTTTGTTGTTGGAGAATTTAAAATTTGCAATCATATCCTAATTTTATATATTATTTCAAACCTAATTGATATTCTAACCTAAAATTCAAAATTCATAAATTTTATATGTTGAATATACTTCTTTTTATTAAAAAAAAAAGAATTCAAGACTTCGAGCATTGTAAATCTCCATAACCATGATTATATTACAAAAAAATAACAAATTTTATTTTATTTATTCATATTAAGTGAGTTGGATCCTGCTTTTCAGCAGAATGTTTTCATTGACTATATATTATCTTTTTTTAATTACTATTATTAATTACTACTTTATTGTTTCTGTTTGGAACGTTAGTTAGTTGGATCATAAATTAATTTATTATTTTATTTATTTGAATTTTTTTTTTTTAAAAAGTATTATTAGAAATATCCTTTGTAGTTTGAATTCAAAATATCAACAAGTACTAGTAACATCTCATTTAATTTGAATTTTTTTCTTCATAATTGGTCCCCTACATTCTATTTCTAGATTTATAGTAGTATTATAATTATATATAGCATGTTTGGTGCTTTTAATTAATCAAACTTTTTAGTGATAAGACATAGTTGTTGCTATATTCAAACTTTTGAATTCCTTATAATTATTTTACTATGTATCGAAAGTTTATCAAAAAATATTTTTCTATCTTCAGTTTTTCACGAGTTAAAAAGATAAATTATTATATGGAAAAAGGTTAAACATATCTTTAAAGTAATTGAAATTGGAGTCTTTATCCATAATTTAACTCATGTATGTCCTTATCGTTTAATTGTTGGTCCAAATATGTAATTAATTTAATTAAAACCCCTAATTAACTCAATTAGGCAATTACTAATCAAGAAACACTTCGTCATAGTTTTTTTACTCATACACTTATTTCAAATTCTGAAAAAATAATTTTTCAATCGAAACTTCTCTATATCACAAAGGTAAGGGTAGGATGTGCGTACACAATCCCCTTTCCTGAACCCTACTTGTAAAAGTATACTCGGTATGTTGTTATTATAATAAACAAGAAATGTTTCATCATAGTTTACCCATGCATTGAGTTCGAATCATTTTCTCAAAAATAAAAAAATATTGAATCGAGGATCCATCTGAATCTACCTCTCAACTCCATACGAAATGCGTAATATATACACTCTTCTCTTAAATTCTACTCGTAAAAAATATACCGAGAATATTATTATCACGATAAGCAAGAAATGACTAAATGTGTCCCTAAAGTATAGGAAGTTGAACAAATATGTCTTTATTATTTTATTAATGATCTCAATTAATTAAATTTATTGAAAAGTCTATTGATTAAGACCTATATACATGAACTTTTTTCATATTTCAGGGGAAAAAGTTAAGGTGGACTAAATTAGATGAGATTGAATTTTGTGTGTTAAAAAGGGACAAAAAAAAGGACAAAAAAACAGCAAAAAGTTGCACTATCCGACCTTTTTTTAAATAAAAAAAAATTACACATTTTTTGAAAATTGTTCTCTTCATGATCAATTATACTTTATTATATATATATATATAAGTCTCCCACTCATACCCTAATAATTGTATAATAATTCTCTCTACAATTTCAAAAAAAAAAAAAAAAAATTCTCTCCTCTTCTTCATCTTCTTTTTCTTTTTGTCTTTTCAAATGGAAAATAGATTTAAAATGAAAATTTCTAGTTTGTTTAAATCATCATTTGGTTCTTGTAAGTCCAAGAATATTTCTGATGATATTGATAATAATAAAAAATCAGTTTTTCAAACTCAAAACCATCAACATTATCAATTAGTTGATCTTTTCTCTCCAAAACCAACTCCATTTCCTTCCATGTTTAGACAAAAATGCCCTCAAAATCCACTTTCGACCAGTGGCGTACGCAGAAATTTTTTACAAGCAGCAGTATCGGTCTATTGTCACAATACGACTTGTAAGTGAGTTTTGTTTTCGGTATTATATGTTATTTTCTAGGCTATACTATATTTCTTGTCTCGAATTCATTGTTTACTTTTTTGCATGATGTGTTACGCAAATTCTTTTTTAAAATTATTGAATATATGTTTAACTAATCAAAGACTATGTATTTTTAGAGAATTCGAGTAATATAAATCATATATATATATGCATCATTTTCTAGCATACTATACTTACACGTACATATACGAAAAAAATTTAAATTTTATGCACCGACTAAAATGATTATTAACATGTTATAACATATTAAAATAAATTGATATATATAGTATAAGTTTCTTTTTGTTTGTTTTTTACGAAGCAGTGTTGAATAACATCCTGACTAAAATCGTATTTTTTTTTATAGCGGATACAAATGGACAAAAATGCCCTCCAGCATCACCAATTTTTCCTCATGATGAGTATTCTCAAGAGAATTGCAACTCTAAATACTATGAGAAGAATTCCAAGAAGAAAAATAAGAAGAAAAAATTCAAGAAAATGACAAATTCAAAAATTAAAAGATTTACTAATTTTGATGAAGAATTTGCTAATTTTCATTATAAAGGTATTTTTAGTAGTGATGAAGAAAGTGAATGTGATGAAGATGACAATAATACCCTTTTCTCATCAAGGTCATTTACAAATTCTGATTCATCGGAATATTCTCTCCGGCGAAAACCGCGGCGGCGGAGGGCGGCGAAGGGTGGCGTAAAGGGCAGTCTTGCGGTGGTGAAGAAATCAAAAGACCCTTATGGTGATTTTAGAAATTCCATGTTGGAAATGATTATGGAAAATCAAATATTTGGTGCAAAAGAACTTGAAAATTTATTAAAATGTTTTTTAAAATTAAATTCACAATATCATCATGAGGTAATTATTGATGTTTTTACTGAGATTTGTGAAGCTTTGTTTTCTAGTTTGTCTTAGGAAAAAAATAATAATGTATTATTAATATGTTTTTGTTATGAAACTTTGTTGTTGTTTTTTATTTATTTTTATATTAAGAATGAATGAGTAGGTAAGCGTAATGTTTCGAGTTTGAGTTATGTGTATATAAAGTTATATTTGATATGAAGTGTTTTACTTTTTTGTTTAAGTGAGACGTTTCAAATTTAAATTATTTTAAAATTCTGAAAAGAATAACGGATAATATCTAAAAAATATTTTTTGTTAAAAATTAATTGTAATAGTAACTTGGGTAGAAGTAATTTACTATATATTTTTTTTGATGTAATAATAAAAGGTTTGGCTCTTATAATACTTTATTTAAAAATAATCTAACGTATGTTGTGACTGCAAAATAAATACTTATTAGAAAAATTTGAGATAAATTTGATAATCGAATAAAAAATAAACAAATAACTTCTACTTCCTCTATTTCAAAAAGATTGACTTAGTTTGATTTGAAACGGAGTTTAAGAAAAAAATAAATTTAATCTTGTGATTCTAAATTAATGTTATGTCAAACATACCAAAATACCCTTTAATCTTGTAATCTTGAACATGTCAGGTAAAAATTAAAATTAAAATATTACCAAAAAAGAAAAATAAATCATTCTTTTTAAACAGACTAAAAATAAATAGATTTTTTTAAAAATATAACTTTCAATTAAAATTATTTGTAAATAAAAAAAAGCAGAAGAAAAAGTGAGAGCATAGATTTGATAATAGACTGACAATAAAAGGCAAAAAATGACAAAAATAAATTTTCATGGATGATTCTAAAAGGTGTTTTTACTTTATAAAATATTTGATTGATGATGGAGATTGATGTAAAATATTGCATTTGTCTCATTTTTTGTAATTATTTTCAAATATTTTGACTTAGTAAACTTGCTTTTGACACAAAATTCAAAATTAAAACCGAGAAAAAAAAAGGGATGAGTTTTAAATTTAATGGTTTGAAAATGGAAAAAAAGAGTAGATTAATAGATTTTAAATGTTATTTATATTTACTAAATAAATCTAATTCGAATCAGATTCTTTGCTAAGATTTATTGGATTTTATCGAAGCGAGAATTATAATTTTGCTATTTAGCCTGTCAATAAAAAATAATAAGGACGAATTTTTTAAAGAAAGAAAAAAGAGAATTTCATAGACGGAATTAATTTAAAATTTGTAAATTCAAAATCTTTTTCTTTAAAAAATAGTAACAAAATTTAAATTCTGAAATAAATAATTTATTATTTAATTAAAATAATTATAAAAATTAAATTATAATTATTAAATTTTATCAAATTCGTAATCGATGCTCAACCCTAAAGAGGATGAGTCGATTCTTTTCAAATAATTCAATTATTCATGGAGCGTTTTGTGTGTATTCATTTTGACTTGATTTTGCCCTACAATTAATTGAAAGTTTAATGAGCATTCAAATCAAATAATTTAATGCATTTTATTTAATTAGTACTATTCATCTACTTATTAATGCGATAATGTATAAGTACCACCTTAATTTATGTTCGAAATCTTAGATACACACTTATATTATACGAATGTCCTATTACCCTCTTAAACTTATTTTATTAATATTTTTTTATCCTTTTTCGACTTGGGTGGCACTATCTTGTGGGTTCAACGCAGGTTGATTTTTTTTTAAATTAGTGTCACTTAAATCGAAAAGGGATAGAAAATTACTTTTAATATAAGTTTAAGGATAATAAGAACTTAATATAATATAAGTGTGTCTCTATAATTTCGAATATAAATTGATTGGGTACTTGTGCATTTTTCCTTTATTAATTGATAAGGAATGAATGATTTTTTTTTAAAAAATAAAATAATATAAATTGTGGCCTATAAAACCAAAATAAAATAAAATAAAAAGAAGTTTGTCGGTAAGGAAATAAAAATGAATCAAAAAATTGTTCCCCACATGATTGGTTTGGTAACATTTGATAAAATTTAAGGGACATATTCCTTATTTAATGAAACATGAATATAATATTTCTTACATTTATAAACTTTAGTCTTTTTATTTTATTTATATATTGGTACATTTTAGTATATGTTTATTGCTTGGTATAAAAAAAAGTGACATAACACATTACTCTATGCATAAGGTAAATATAAATATAAGTCGTGGTAAAATAATTCGAGATTTTTTCATTTTTTATTTAAGGTGAATAGGGTTGAGTTTTTAATAATGAAAAAAAATCATATTTGAAAGCATTACTAGAAAAAATGAATCTTATAATGCAAGAATTTAGATAAAATTTCAAATCTAAATAAATAATTAAAAAAAACTAGCTTGCAATTTTAGAACAAAAATTAAGATTGACTTGTACTACATATATTCCATTTGTTTCCAAAGTGTAGAAAAAAAAGGGGGCAAAGATATACAATAATTCTATAATGTACTTTTCAATTCCAAATTTAAAATGACATAATTAATTTATATTATTTAACTAAGTTTGTTGTTTTTCTTTTTGTTTCTCGCTCGAATCTGACTAAATTTGGATTTGCACTCTGCGCGACCTATCGAGGGTGGCGCTCTTGAAGCTCTAAATTAAATTTGAATCGCGCTCGGCAAGACCATCAGAGGTGACACTCCCCAAGCCCAAATTAAAGTTCTAACTAAATTCAAATCACGCTCCGAGGTGCACTACAACCTATATTATTAATTTGTTTGTTTACTAATATATACTAAGTATGCATTAGAACAATATTGAATGGTATTTGATGGGTTTTTTTTAAAAAAAAAGAAAATGAAGTGAAGTTATTATAAAAAAAATCTTTTGAAATTCGAAATTATATTTATATTTATATTTATATTTAATTTAATAAAACAGTTGTAGTTTTGTCATAAAAAATAATTATTTCAAATTGATTATAACATAAATTTATTATTTTTTTTTGATAAAATAGATAAGCCAAATAATTTGAAATTTCTGAAAAATACAAATTTTTCCCAGTTTCCACTACCACAAAGATTAGAAAATGACATGTCATTTTTGACCACTTTATAATAAGAAACTGAAAAGTCTGCTTCAATAAATTAATTAAAAAGGTGTTACTTTTGCAATAGGTATGTATCGTAGTGGTCATATTTATTTTTTTTCTATAAAAATACAAATGAAAAAGAAGACACAATGGAATTAGAAATACTGTCATCAAAATACTTTTTAACAGCATCAGAGAGAATGATACCAAAATCATTAACTCAAAAAAAATAATAAAGTAATAGACTTACCGATAATAATAATAATAATAATAATAATATACTCAGTACAATATAATAAGTGAAATATGAAAAATAATAAATTATACATAATCTTACTTTTAGTTTATGATCAACGTAGAGAGATTGTTTCCGACAGAACTTCAGCTTAAAAGAAAATTGAAGTAGGATTGCAAGAAATTAAAAACAATAATTTTTTGTTAATTTTATACAAATACCTCTTAATTTCTCTCTCTCTATATATATATTTTAAGACGAGATTAAAGGGTGTTCGAGCATTCAACGGACTCTATCTGGGTCCACCCCTGCAAACAACTACATCATATCCAGTGTAATATTACAAATGAAGTTTTCAAAGGATAAAATATACTCAAACTTCGTTACTATCTATATATGTAGAGAGACTGTTTTCGATATATCTTCGACTTAAAAGAAACATTTTTGAAGCGCGATTTTAAGAAAAATATCATATAAAAAAAATAGCTAGATAAAAGAAAAAACAAGTTCAGACTTATAGCCTGCAAAGTTTTAACTGTATAGCCTTTTTTACTGACCAGTTGAAAGCAATGTAACATTATATACATAGATATAGGACCAATGGACACATTTGGAATATAGATTTTGTAGTCTGTATTTATAGGGTTTTTTTTTTCTGTTAACATTCCATCAACATTCCTTATTTGAGTAATTGAATGCAGGTTATATTCAAAAATTCAAATAGAAAATGGAATACAAATGGAAGAATATGACAAGTTTGGTTATATTTTAAAGATTTTGCATTAATTGTTTAGGCATTTTATTGGGGCTTTAAAATGATGAAAAATGGCAGAAAAAAGCACATGAGCTATGAGGCCTTTTAATAGTAGGGGTCTGTTTTGTAGATAGGCCTTTTTATAGTTATATGTATTAAATAAATATATAGTGGCTATATTTGCAAATAGTACGAGAGATAAAAATAAATAGTGATAAATAAAATTTTTTATATTTTATTTGGTTGTCAAGTTGAAATAACTAATTATCTCATTATATCACAGTGACGAAATAAGTTATTTCATATACATGGTGGGATAAGTTATTGTAGAATAACTAACCCTAGAATAATTAATTTTGGAATAACTAGTTCCCATCTGAACGATCCCTTTATGAGTGGAGGATTTATTGAAAATGGTTTATTTATCTTTACAATATAGAGGTAAGGTTTGAATACATATTATTTTTTTCTTAATTTTGTTAATTGAAATTATATTGAATATGTTGTTAGTCGTCTTTTGGTTTAACGAGGGAAGAAAGTTAGTAATACCATGGGTTTGCCACTTGTTTCTTATCTTTTAATTGAAAAATTAATATTGTCTAAGAAATTTCTAAAGTTTTTATCGAACAGTTTAAGTTCTATGATCATGACTATTTTCAATTAAAAAATTTGGAAAATATCTATTTGGTGAATTTTATTGATAAAAAAGATAATTTAAGGATGTGATGAAAAAAGATGAAGTTGATCCACTCTTAAATTAGAAATTGTGCGTTTGGATATTTATAAGCAAATAGCTTTCTTGTTAGTTGACCAATCCAGCTCGAACTTGAATTAATTGAATTGAATTTTTGACAGAGAGTACGTAAAAGGGTGTTCGAATAAAAATAGAACAAAATTAGAAAAAAACAATTTCTCTAATAGAAGTAGAGAAAATAAGTTCTACAAATGACATTACAAATTAATTATATTATCTCCAGCCTCCGACATACCCCATCTTCGCCACCTACCAGGTAGCTCCCATCCCTAGACCCTTACCCTCAACCTGGCCTCTCGTAGTATATGTTTGGATTATATATAACTGATTTTAGCATAATATTTTGTGCTGACATAAGTAATCGAATTGAGTTTGACAAAGAGTGAGTTAAAAGGCGTTCAATAAAAATAGAACAAATACGGAAAAACAATTTCTCTAATAGAAGTAGAGAAAATAATTTTCACAAGTGATATTTCAGATTGATTTTATTATCTCCAACCTCCGAAATACCCCCTTATAGCTCCGATCCCTAGACCCCTACGCTCACCCCCACCTCTCATAGCATATGTTAGGGTTATATATAAATGCTTTTAGGATAATATTTTATGCTGACATAGGTAAATAATTGCGTTATTTTTTTAAGAAAACATTTTCCTTTGTACCGAACAAACCCTAATTACATCCTTGTTTTGGGCCTTGGGAGGCTTTTATCATAGCCTAATGTAAAATATGGGCCTTGAAAGTAGCCCCCAAGAATGCAAATAATGCTTTTTTTACTTTTAAAATGACTATTGGGCCTTAAATCATTTTTATTTGGCCCAATTTAAAAGAGCAGTAAAGAAAAATCAAATTCACTAATAAGGAAAAGTTGCATGAATCATTAGGTCAAGTAATCTTGAATTAGATTCTTCTAATTAATTATTCTTATTGTGTATTCATTTCTCATTTCTTTAATTAATAAGGTTTTTTTTTTTCTTTCTGTTTCATTAAAATATTTGATATTCTGATAAATAAGTCAAAAGTTGTTGATAACTTGACAGCTCTCGATTGAAGCAAGATCATTGGGACAACACATATACCTTAATTAAGAAGTGCATTGTCACATATAGTTTAGTTTTAAATAAAATATTAGGTTAAATAAAAGCTAAAGTAAGTGAGTAGGTATAATTTATTAATTTAATTATCAAAAGAGGTAACCTAGTGTAAAGTGGAGAGTGGAGCAAATGTGATTAATTATGATTAGGAGATTAATCTTAGTTAAAATTTGTCCAAGTGTTCGTGGAACATCATTAACCACTAATTAAAACATTATTTTAACTTAAGTAAACGGTTTTATTACGTAAAGCCTCAACACATGGTTTCCATTTCGAGCCAACAATGATTTTTATAACCTCGTTCCAATCATTATGCAACACGTATTATGTATCTTTTTGTCATTTTTCTCTACTTTTGTCCCCTAGCCACAACTTTTTAAGCATATATTCTTGCAACTTTTATTTTATTTTATGGAGCAATTTCAAACTTATAAAGTCCACGCATTTCACGCGTCAAAAAAATGAGAGCAGAGGATATAAGAATGTGGATATAAAAAAAAAGTTAAGAATAGAAATAAAGTTATCCGAGACAAGATAGGAGTAAGGGTCGTTGTGAATAAGGTCATGAGAACGTGCTACTAAAATCGTTCGAGCAATACCCCATAAAAAGGTATGAGACGTTAGCTATAATAAGTAATAAGAAAGGTAGAGGCATGCCAGAGAAATCTTACGATGAAGTGATTCGACAAAACACGACAAACTGGCAGTTTATTATGCCCTTAAATAAGAAGATCTGGAGGTTGAGAATTAAGATAGAACTTTCGTATATAATCGAATATGTCTAGTTACTCTTTCTGTTATAGTAATATTATTCTCCTACTATCTTATTCTTTAATATTAATAGTACTTGTTATTCCCTTTGTTTATATATTTGCTATGCTTACTTTATTTAATTCGCTTAATTTAAATCAATATACTAACAATATCTCTATCCTCACAAATTTGATTTTGGGCCTTCTAATAATAGCCTCAATAATCCACTCAAAATTTCTTCACTTTTTTGCTCTTTCGATGTCTTAGTGATAATTATTTACTAATCGAGCAACTCCCTCGAGTAAACGAGTGGGTCCCACAATTGTTATTTCAAATCCACTAGTGATCTAGTAGAGGCCATTGGATCATGACACGTGGCCTTTCCAATTAAGACTATGTCACGTGGTGCATGAGCATCTTATTGGGCCAGCCCATACCCTAAAACAGATAAAAAAAAATAGAGATGCCTTTTGTCCATCTTTTGGGCCCCTATTTGCCTTTTGTTTCAAGTGTGTCCGGATCTTCTAATTGGGCCCATCCACGTGCCACTAGGCCCAACTATTGGGACCACGTGATCTCCCATTCTATCGGTATTAGGTTCTCGATTTTGTCAGAATATCTTAGTAGCTCAGTTGATTGAGTGATATATGATATGACGTTCGATTTTATTGGTGAAAGTTCTCTTCTATTGTCCACTTCTTTATCATCTTCCCATACATATACTCCTACCTCAATTTATTCAAAAGAGAGAGAGAGAGAAAGACCTTTTTGTCCAAATATTTAGTAGTTGTTTGCTCGAATGTATACGAGCTCGATTTTATCGAGAAATGTTACTAGCTTAGTTGATTGTGTACGTGAAGTTTCATTTCGTTGGTAACAGTTCTCTTCAATTTACCTTTTTGTCCAAATATTCAGTACTTTCTCCATTTGAAAAAGAATGACGTAGTTTGATTTAGAACATACTGTAAGAAAAAAAAAAGAAGATTTTTTTAATCTTAGCATTTTGAATCGAAGTTATGTCAAAATAGATTTTAATCTTGTGATCTTAAATATGTCAAGTGAAAAGTTGACGTTAAAATATATCGAATGAATCTCTAACTAAGAGAGATTATAACTAATGAGATAGTGTCACGCGCTGTTCACGTGAGAAGAGGCAATGGAAAACAGTGTAGATGAGATGGACAACAAAAGATTGCTTCTTCAATAGACATTAATGTGGTGAGCATGAGGTGTATGGACTTGTAAAGTGGGGAAATAATGATTGTGATAGTAAGTGCTTTTTTTTAAAAAATTTTTTTATGAAATTTTAAAATCTTAAAAAGTAAATTTGTCTTTGATGGGAGCAATTTAAGTTTCAAAATACTTCGAAAAATTGGATAATTGAGTGTCAAAATAAAAAAAAATTATAATAAAAAACAAGTTCATGAAAGAGGATAGCACCTTATCTTATCACTATCCTCTATAAAGGTATAAAGACTATTTTCGAAAGACCTTCAACTCAAGTATGATAAATATCGGAATAGAGAAAAAGACAATCAAGAGAAAATCGAAACAAAAAACAACATAAAAGTAGCCAAAATAAAAATAAAATCATGTATTAATCAAAATGTCATAAACAACATACTATAGGGTGGATTTATTATCAACAGACAATAACAAACCATGATTAAAAAAAAAACAAGAATCTGCTATCCTTCTATCCTAATACGAAATCTTTCACGCCCTCTCTTATCTAGTTTCATATCCTCAGGCCCTCACTCACCTCAATAATTAAAAATTACATCATATCCGATCTTATCATATTTTAACATCTGAATACTTTACGCTAATTTTCAATAATAACACTATACTTACCTTTTTAAAGAAGATAAAATATACATAAACCTTAATCGATACAAATCCAATCTAATTGCACATCTAAGTAAATACCAAAGAATTGAGGACAAAACCATAGGAGTACATCACATGCAAGTGGGGTTGGGGTTGGGGTTGGGGGGACAATTATAGGGCAGGTGCTCTTATTTTTAATTGTATTTGTGACCAATGGGTGAGACTCTTACCAATTGCCATCATTGTATGGAGCATAGTAAGTAATTTTAATTGCATAATATGGCTTACTCTTATTGGATGAGCTGTGTTTGTTGGCCCTCTTGCTACCTGAGCCACCACCCACCCCCTCCTGACCATTTTTGTCTACTTCTCCTTCCCATCCCATTCATTTTCACGTGATTTAGACATAAAATTTTAAAAAGAAAAGAAATTATAATTTATTCGATGTTCAAAAATTATATTAGAGTATTGATTAAATTTAAATCGTGCTTCGCTGGCTTATTTGGTAGTGACGCAACTTCATCTCTCTCTGGACCTCAGCTCTCCTCTCTCAAAGCATGCGAGTTTTAAGCTTGGAAGATCAAGAAAAGCGAGAACAAGATCTTTTAGAGCTGATGGAGAATAGCAAAAGAAAGATCTCAAGGCTCTGGAAACATGCCACTCCCGATACTCTTTCTGTTGGGTTTTATTTGCCCTGATTTCTTATCATAAATATGTTTTTTCCTTTTAGGAAAATGTTTAGAACTCTATAAATAGAGACATGTTCCTTCTAACTTAATCAGCATTCACAATGTAATCTTAATGACTTTGAGAGTTTTGGTTAGGGAAAGAAATTGTGGGTCACAAGCTTGACACGTTATTACTTGTGTGAACCTCCCATGTATTATAAGTGAATTTGGTTGAGGTTGTTTCCCTCTGTATGTTGTACTCTCATATTTATAGTGGATTGCTCATCTCCTTTGTGGACGTAGGACGATTGACCGAACCACGTTAAATCTTTGTGTCTTTTGGTATAATTCTCGTTGTCTTCTTACTCTTGGTCTTTTGAGGTTTCCTTTGCTAGCTTTCGCGTTTACACATGCTTATTTTCGTCCTAACACTTCCTATACTCTTCCTCCGTCGCCGAATCGAACCTAAATCTCTTATTAAGGGTGAAACACTTTCATCGATGCACTACAATTCATCTTGATGTATTGGTTAATCTTATTCCACATAATTAATAAACATACTTATTTTATCACATGATTAATTTATTTACTTAATAAGAAATATGTTATCAACCATTCATACACCGAAATTAAAACTCGAAAAAAAAAGACATGTTAATCAAGAAATAAACCGTACATAATGTTTCGAAAGAAAAAAAAAACAATAACAACAAGGATAATTAAAAAAAGAAAAACTTCACACATAATTATGCCAAAGTTAGCAAAATTATTAAGCAAAGCTACAAAAAAAAAATGAAACAGTATTCCCTAGCTAATTTTTATTAGTCCTATAGTTAATTGTTAACTTGGGAGGTTTCACTTTTTTTTAGATTACATATTTGTAGAATATTTGCATAATTAAAAGGAAAAATTATAAAAAAAAATGAATTAAAATAATTACAAAAGCTATAATCGAATATAGCTCACATAATTATAAATCATTTTTTTTATACTAAACTAAAATCCACCACCGAATAATGAAAATGGATAAGGCGGTGTACTAGCTTCCTCCGTCGCTGGAGTACCTCCTCCACCACCACGTCCGCCGCCGCCGTAGTCGTAGCCGTAAAAGTTATCCATCGGTGGAGCGGTGAAACCGCCGCTCTCCGATGAGCCAGTTGACAATGTACTAGACATAGTAGGACAACTTCCGTAGGCTTCATTAATCATCATCATCGGCCGGCCACCGATGATGACTTTTTGTTGGTTCATCCACGCCGTGGACGGAGTTTCCGACGACGGCGAGGATTGATAGAACGTATCCTTATCGAAATTCGCGTCAGGAGATCGAATCGACTGTATCGTACCTGGCTCATAAGTTATCATCGGCCGACTACCTAGCCAGGCCGTCGGCGGCGGCGGAGTTCCCGACGACGGTGAGGACTGACAGATCGCATCCTTATCGAAATTTGCGTCGGGTGAGTGAAATGACGATGTTGCCCCTAGTGCATCTTCACTCTTCACTGAGGAACAACTCGTTGAATTCGAAATCACAAGTCTCCGTTTCTTCTCACGATTTGTTAAACTTAGCCTTTTAGATCTCTCTTTCTCCATTAAAATTCTGGGCAGAATCTCAGGATCATCAACAACTTTACACAAAAAAGCCATCATTTGCTGTGGCCTTTTCTCTGTAGCTTCTAATCTTCTAGTCATATTCTCAACTTCATGCTCTAATGCTTTTTGTTCCTGCTTTAATCTAGAAATTTCAGTCAAAATTTCTTCATCTTCACTCTCATCCTGCTTCTGAGAACACGAATTTCTACTGTGCTTTTTCCTCACTATGTTCTTCAACAAATGCGTTTGCCCTCTCAGAAACCATTCATTTGCAAATTCCCACTTATCTGGATCCACTTTTCTGAATCCCTGTAGATTCATAGACACTCGAATCAAAACCAGAAAAATTCAACCTAAATCAATTGATTTCAACTGAAATCCAATCCAATACACATATCAGATTCAAAAACTAACAATTCTAAACATATTCAATTCTGAATATGAATCTGTTACATAATATACTCACATAAGTATTGAGCTGACGAACAAAGCTGGAGAAATTGTTGTGCTTAAAGTAAACAGGCAAAATTCGTTGAGAAAAATCCAAAGGTTCAACAACTATGAAACTGTTATTAGCTGTTCCCCAGGCTATAAGTCCATCAATCTTCGGATCATTCACCATTTGATAAGTTTTCATCACGAACGGAGCAATAATATTGTTAGCCTCCATCCCATATATATATATATCGTTCCGATGTCAACGCGGTGGAGCTCCACTGAGCTGGGCGGAGGTTCACGGTGGCGGAAGGTTAGGGGCAGTGGCAGTCGTGGTGGTTGTAGAGAAGAATGTCAATGTAAAGGATATGGTTATATAGACAACTCTTTTTCGTGTTTGAGTGTATATTAATATTAATATTAAATCATCGCGCATCATAGTAGATAATCTCTCATATTTTTAAAAATAAAAATAAAAATAATTTTAAATTTTGAGGAATTAATTAGAAAAAAATATATTTTAATTTTGCGATACTATAATTTTAGAACAATTATTTTAGAGATATCAAATTTGATCAAAATTTATATATTCAAAAGTCGTATTCTGTAAATATTTTTGTAACGAAAATTATTAGTAGGGCTCTAAGATAGATCGATTCCGACTACCAAGTAGCCTCTAAAAAAGTAATATTAATATTAATTAATAACAAATATGGTACGTGGAGATTATTTGAAGGCTTAGATGATATTTTTATGGTTGTGCTACAAGGGGACCACAATGATGGTCTTTTTAATTTGATTGGTCCACGTCATGACCCTGATTCTTAGATATTTTCATTTTTTTACCACTCGCAGGCTATAGCGCGTGGCGTTTGGACTTGGTGTTCTTACGTGGTCCCCTCGAATCAATGCCACGTTTCTAGTCAGGATTGGATGATTCGAAAAATTGCTTAGCTGGATTTTTTTTAAATAAGGCATTAAATTTAGATAAGACTCGGAGTATAAGTTCACTTAGTACAAACGTTTTAAGGATCAGTGTTGAATGTGTGATGAACTTGAGTCGTAAAATTGTATCAAACATCAACGAGGATACCGAATTTCTGTAAGGTTGCATGTTTGTGACATCTAGGATCAAGAGAGGATGAATTAAAATTAAGAACTGATAAATTTTTAGATTGACAAACTGTAAAATTAGTAATGCATATTATAGGTGAATCTCACAACATAGTGAAAAGTGAAAAGAAAATCAAAAGTTTTAGAAATAAATATCGAAAACACTTTATCAGAATTGTTAATTTTGTTTTCGTACTATTGACTGTATAAGATGATTTATCTACTTGACTAACTAAGTTTAAATACACCTTCAACTTACCAAATGAACATAGCCACGATCTCAAACTCTTATACAAACGTGAAACTTATTATTTTCAAGATTGTTAATAATTTATAATTTACATATAATTTAAGGATATTTACAATATTTTTCGAAAAATTGATAATGGTGTAACTCAAAGAGACAACTACAAACAGTGCCTTAGATTCGGTGCTGGAAATACCGATTCGTTTTCATATTTTTTTTTTATATTTTAATATATTTTTCACAAGATTTTGGCCAGATAATAATAAAGTACTTTTATTTTCTCGTGCACTTGCCGCAGAAAAGCGACACGTGGCATGTAACTTTTTAATACGTTACACCTTCTTATTGGTACAATTATAATTTTTTCACTCCATTTGAAATATTTTTTTTTAAGTTTATTTTAGTTTTAGAACTCTCAAATTAACTACTACTCTTGGTATCGATACAGTTTAATTAATTTTTAGCTTTTTTACTTTTAAAATATTATCTCAAAATATATTGTTAAAATTGTTCTTTAACGAGTGTATTTTTATAAAAATACTTTAATTCTTTTTCATGATGTTAAGAATGTAAAATCTTGTAAAACGTTTAATAGGAATGCTTGTGTAGATTAATTGTATTGTTTGATGGAATATTTTATCATAGTATTGAGGACATAGGATATATTTGTATTCGAAAATTTTTTATAAAATATATTATATATTAATTTAATATATAAATTATATTTACATGTCTGTAAAGTTATTTTCGAATTGATTCGAATTTTTTTTTGGTTTTTTATTATAAATTAAAAGGATTACCTCAATTGTTCAGATAATTATGTACTAAATAAAACTTTATTATTTTATTGAATAAATGATATAAATTACAATTATGTTCGATTGATTTTTCATATTTTCTTTAACACTCCTGTTTTTGGCTCTATATCATATACTATTATTAAATTTGTATTTGTATTCGTGCATCATAAATTATAATGTCTTTTTGACTATTTTTAATAACGATTTCAAATAACTTTTTTCTAAAAGCTTCGATCTAAAACTTCTAACTAAGATGAATAAAATATAACGTATATCGTTCATTGGGGTTATACTGTATCAAAGTTGTTTTGTTTATTATTTTTTTAGGTTATTGATTGAGCTTAATACATGCAATCATATAAATTGTTTTTTAGTGTAAAATTTCAAAAAAGTTATGCAAATAATATATAACTATATTATATGAGGGTTGATAAAAATGACAAAAGAAATAAAATATAATTTGAGTTTTGTTTATGTATATTGTTAGATATATAGTTAGTTAATTTTTTTGTGATTTAAATTTTCTCAATGAGTCATCAGAGGTATTTATTTTGCTACGAGAAATGTTATTTTTCTTCGATTTATATATATTTTTCTTAAATTTGGATTATAATAATGTATTAACTTTTTTATTCTGAAATAATTAAATTCATTTTATTTCATATTTATCAATTTTTTATGAGACCTTAGTCAAGAATTTTTGTTTTTATTTTATTAAACGAACTATATTATTTTTTAAAAATCCAAGCTTGCAACATTAACAACCTTTTTTCTTCTTTTATTCCCTTTTCTCCACCCAAATTTTTTAATAAATAAAAAAGAACTTTGTTTACTTATAAAAAGCAAAAGACAAAATCTAATCCAATCCTTTAATTGATTTCATCAGCTAGCATAAGTTCTTGTCTTTTTCTCAAGAAAAAAAAAATTATAATTAATTGTTTACTTTAATTTTTTTAATTTTTAATTAATGAAGCGTTTATAATAGTACACATCACTCTTTTTTATGTTTTAGCCTCTTTAAGTAAAAGAGTGGTCATTAGTTTCCCAAACCAGAAAGGAAGACAATAATTATACAATTTTTAAAATAATTATTCATGACCCACTCAACCAAGTAACAAAGGGTGACCTTTATCATTAGGAAAAAAAAATACTAAAAAATTCAATTTAAAAAATAAAGTAATTTGATTAATCAAAGCTCCTTTACCTACCATATGTTGAATATTGTTTGGCTCATATACAATATTATTTTAGTAGAATTAAGATTTATTAGTTACTTTTTTTCATATCTTCAAAAAAAATTTCATTGTTTTAGAATTTCAATTTTTCAAATAAAATTTTAGGAAATGTTCTTGAAGCTTCACTCGTAAAATTTAAGACTCTAATATTTGAAAATATTAAAAGAATTTTCTTTGTCCTTCGTGATAACTCAGTTGATTTAGAAGATGATTATCCACACGAATGACTTGAGATTGATCTCCCCTTAATGCCTTACAAATCAAGTATGTCGCATAGGGATTGCCTTGTGTGGTTTGCAGGCTATTATACAGTGAAGGGTTTACTCAGTGCACACAAAGTGCTCATCACAGAATGCTCACCAAAAAAGCAGAGGTTGTGACGGAGATTGTAGTGAATGCGGATTATCCTGGGATTTGAAAAAGAAATCATTTTAATATTTTGTTTTGGTGAAATTTAAATGTTTAGATTTCATAAATTTTGATGAGGTGATATTATATTTTGACAATAATATGCATTTAATGTCAAGTGTTCTATACATGGTAGTTAGTTGCACCTGAAAAATCTTCAAGTGAAAGTTACCTTTGGACAAGGTAACTTATCAATTATTTCCCAACTAATTTAAAGTGTGGACAAGTATGTGAGTTGTCAAAATTTATATCCAACTAAGATTTGGTTCAATGTATGAATCTCATACAATATATGATCTTATTAATTACTAATCACATCTTAATTAACTCCAAAATCAAGTCCTAATCAAGAAATAATAATGGTAGCATCCATTTAAATTTTTTTTTCACTATTCACCTTGTTAATTATTGTATTTTGTAACTTCTACAAAAAGGTCGAAGTTTGATGAACAACTCATTAACACTACTTTCCTAAGAAGGTAAGTTTACCATCATTGTTTTTTCCTATACCAATAAAAGGTATGAAATAAGCGAGTTAAATTTAATTTTGACAACTCAAAATAATACGAGTTGAAAAAAATAATAAATCGTTAAAACATATTTAGGTTGGGATGAGTTAGGTCTATATGAGTTAAGTAATGAATTATAACCCAACTCATTCAAATTTAACCTAATTTTGATTTTTTTTATTATTTTCTTATAATTTATTTAATGACTATTTTCTAATTAAATCAGTTCACGTTGGAATAAAACGCTTGCTATGGTAAATCCTTAGGACTGATAAGGAGATCCTTGCCGTGAAGACCATCAAATACCTATTGATCAACCAATATAAAATTGAGAGTTGGATAATTCAAATTCAAAACTTTTTATTAAGTATGAATGAATCGTTATCGCTCCACCACGACACGTTAATATGATAGTGAATTTGGAATCTCTAGGGGAAGAGTAGGGTTTATACAAAAGCCAAAGTAGGCATCACCAACACTATTTTAATTCATTGTACATATCAATGGTCAAATGCCTCTTCATTTATTTCTTTTCCATTTTTATAATAAAAAAGACATATGTCTTTCACTTTGTGGAAATTATATTTTGGCCACATATTACAATGTCCCCATCTCTAAGCACTTATTTACTTAACTCTACTGTTTATAAATTGGTTGTGTTATCAGCCACATGCCGTAATTTGGCCATTTTTTTCTATGTCCACAAATATTTTATATATTTTTGTGTGTTTGAAAGTCTTTGATTAAACGAGTATTTTATAAAAGTTACTTAACTTTAATTAAAGGAAAGTAAGATGTTAATTGTATTTATAAAAGAGGAAAAGTTCAAATTTGCTTTTGAATTTTTGCAAGGTAATATAAATTTAACCTTGTACGAATAATTAAGGTCAAATATATTTATGTCGGTATAAGTTAGTCTACATATGTTACTATTTACTAGCGATGGAGCTTTTTCAACATGTAGGAAAATGAAAAAAAAGAGGTGGATAGGGTTTATCTAAAATTCATACGATAATCAATATGGTTATATGAGCGCAATCGAAAATTTATGGAGAATTTGAATTCGAACTATGTGAAATGATTTGAATTTGGCTCAAAACTATGACGAAGAAAATTTGATTTTTTTTTCCTTTTAACAATTCATCCATAACTTTGATCTATAATGTAATTTTCCCAACATTTTGGTTACTTTTACCATCTGAATTTATATATGTGGGAAATATGGGGAGCATAAAGTAGTGATCTTGACATGGAGATTGATTGTTGCCAATAAATAGTCCTTGTGGCTAAACAACATGTGCCACTTGGGTTATTTGAATTGTCAAAATCCAGTTATAAATGTAATGATATTGACACTTGGGTGGAAACTAACATTTAGATTACTTTTCAATTTAAAAGTTTAAAAAATTTCGAATCGATAAACTTTAAATATTAATCATACATCAATACTGATATGATAATTGAAATTAATCTACTTATTTTAAGCATAAATTTAATTTATGTACATCAATTTTAATTAAAAAGAAAAATAAGATACGAAAGGAGTGGTAAATTTTAACAACACAAGTACTCAAGAGGGATAATGACACATCTTAATCAAAATATAAAAGATCCACAAATACTTTGAAACTCCTCATGGGAACGAGAAATTCTCAACGAAAAAAGTGCTCTCTGAACCGAACGTGATTTGTCAAATCTAGCTACTTGCTAAATGTTGAGAAAATATTGGTGAAGTTGTCTATTAATTATAATTTTCCATTGCCAAATTCTATGTCAAGTTTATAATATGTGTCAATAATCAAATTTCCTATTATGGTATTAATAATTTAATGGTGCTTCTCATAAGTGTATTTCTATAATTTGTTCCATTTGATTCTTTTTATTATACATATTGATGTCCACATCTTAGCATGCCATGCCAAGAGTTGCCAAGTGTACATACTTCAAAAAAGAAATAGCTAGCCACATATATGATCTTGACAAAGGACAGACACAAAGCAACGATAAAGTTATCTTTATGTTACATGTTTGAGTTATATAGAATCAGTGATGTAATTAAAATATAAAGTAATAAATACGTAGATAAATTAAAGGAGATTCAACATCTATTATATGTGCATAAAAATAATTTTGATAATTGTATAAGTAGTTCAATCTTCCGTTAGAGAGTGTTTATATTTAAAATCCTTTGGTCATTCCTAGCTCTGCTCCTATGAAATCAAACGCGAGATACTTTATGTATTAAATTATTTCTAATTTTTTTTATATTTTATATCCTAATCACAAGTAAATTTAAATTTGAAACTTTATAACTTCTAATTTTTGGAAGCTACTTCACATACTAATATATGTATTGAATTTTCGTATTTTGAATTCTTTTAACGAGAATTTTGATTCCGACTTTAATAACCACTACAGAAGACTTGGGCTAAAAGGCCAAAACAAAAGAAGTCTGCATAATATCATGGGCCTAAAAGTTAAGGCCTATACTGATATTCATATGAAAGCCCTATCCACAACTCCATTTAAAATCATAAATTTAGTTTATAAAAATAAGATTCAATCGGCATAAGTTTGGATCGATAACATTTTATTTTAGTTTAACCTATTTTAATTTAAATTTTTGATAAATGAAATATATTTTATTTTGATTAAATCCAATTTAAACTTCTCATTTGATATTTATGTTAAAACTTATAAGTTATAACCATATATATAGTAAAGTTAATGTTGACTGTTGTTAAATTTTCAATTTCATATTGTGAAACTTCGATACTTTATTTTGAAACTCTATTTATGAAATTTAAATCTCAATAATAATATAACTATTTTTCAATTCTAAAAATTCAAAAGTTATTAGTACTTATGTTCCACTACTTAAAAATAATAATCTAAAATGTCACAACTAAAGAATATTAAACTCTTTTTAAATGTGGTCAAATGCCCTTTACATCAGCTTGCCTTTATAACAGTTAATTCAATAAATCCAAATGTCATTGTTGAGATGGCCGAGTTGGTCTAAGGCGCCAGATTAAGGTTCTGGTCCGAAAGGGCGTGGGTTCAAATCCCACTCTCAACAATATATTTTTTTTAATTGTAAATATATCCGTAGTTCGTGAAAAAAGTTCAACAAGGTATGAGTCTACAATAGAAAAACAAATTTCCAATTTTTGGATTCTTGGATAAAAGATTAAAAATCAAACAGAAAGTTGTCTTTTACCACTGAAAATTTTAAAATAAGAAAAGACAAAAAATAGAAAATGACTTGTATACAGCTTGTTAGGTGGCCTCTGTGACAAGTATTTGTCACCTTCAGAAAGACACCTCAATGGTGCTTCTTGTTCAAAACCAAAGCAGGGACTTCTTTTAATAAAGAAAAATAGAATAGTTCGATATATAAAATATTTTACGTTCATACAAAGTTTGAAAAAGAACTACATATTAAGAAGTGTGATATATATAATTTATTCTAATGTAAGTGTTAGTGATGTTTTCACGACTCGAATTCGTGACTTATAAATCACACGTAGAGTGGAGCTAGCAAGAGTTAAAGGAATTAATTCGAACCTTCTTCGACGAATAATTACACTATTATATTTGATTAAATTATTTATATATATATATATATTAAATATTATAATCTCTTTTAACTTCTTCATATATATACTTTTTAATATTTTAAATTCTCTTAATTAAAATTCTAATTTTTCTTTTTAAAAAAAATAGATTTGATTCCAAAGTGAAAATAACTTTATGTTATTCCAAGGTTCCCCTTCTTGGAACATAAAATAAATGGTTTATATAAAGTTGGCTATTTTGACTTCAAACTGTCAGAAAGGTTTTGTTTTTATGAGAATTAATTAATAAACTGATTTGGCTTATTAGTAACTTAATTTTTCCATTATTTTTTATCATAACTCCTAGTATCAAATAAAAACAAAATAATTTGGAATCGATTATATAAATTGATAGTCTATCATATTTCTCTGTTTAAACTCATCTTAAATCAATAATATACGATATTAAAGCAAAAAATAACTCAACAGAATATCAATCTAAAGTAATGCAATAACATGACTATCTGTGGAAATTCTAAGAGACTAAGCTAGCGTTTGATCATAAATTTTAAAATCAGATTTTATAAATACATGTTTGGCCATAAAGTTTAATCAGTTCAAAATATTTTTCTCAGATTCTCACTTCTAAACTTCAAAATCTCTAATCAAACCGGAGTTTCAAATTATACGTAGTTTGAGATAAAGTTTTACTTTATTATCCCAACTTACAGTTAAGATAATAATAATAATAATAATAATTTCCCGCCAAAAAATTTATCTCAATCCTTCCAAATTCCCATGTATTTATAACATTCCCTAACTCTCAAAAACACAAAACACACACATGAAGTCTAGTACTTCCAAGTTAATAATGGGAGCAATATTAATAATGGTGGTGACCCTTGCAATAATTCTAGGCCTACTCTTAGTTTTTCTTGTTGAATTTTTTTGTTCCCTCTTACTTGCTAGGCGTCAACGGTCAAAAACACCTGTAAATTTCGCGATAACCTCTACCACACAATCACCACCATCACCACTAGAGTGTCAATCAATTGTTCCAATTACAAGTAGTCATAGTAGCTTTTATGCACAATTAGGGGTTCTTCATGTTCCAAGAAATTACCTCTTTCCTAAAATTTCCACTAAAGATCATCATAACTTTGATGATATTGAAATAGTCCAAAATGTATCATATCCTAAATTAGTCCATGAAGCACAATCACATCAATGTAGCACTAGTAGTACTACTATTGAGGAACCATTTATGTACATATCAAATCCAATTTATGATGACACGAAAATTGAGCATGACACACCGTTTGAAACGCCAGATACATCCCCATCCTGTCTCGAATTAATCATTGATAGTTCTTCGGAGGGAGAAGAAGAAAATTGTGGAATATCAACATGTTCTAGTACACCTTCTTCAGTACTATTAACTCCAATGAAGAAACTCCCGATCGAGGCATGTTCAATTTCACTGAGAAGTGGCTCTATTAATAGTAACAATTCTACTTCTTCCTCTGGATCTCCATGTACTTCTCCATCTTGGTAAAATTTGAAAAAAAATATATTTAGCAATCTATGTACTTATATTTGTTTAATTAGGGTTTGTTTAGATGTTCTTTTGTTAGCTTAGTTTGTTTAGTTCATTTTATTTTCTTGTTTAGTTATTTTTGTTGATGTAATAGGTGGTGATAGAATGACTAATATTATCTATCTGTCCCAGTTTATTTGGCATATGTTCCTTTTTAATTTGCCTAAAAATATATAAATATTATGTATATTTAGAGATAATTTTGTTTTAAATTTTTGTTTATCCTTAATGCTAGGTCACTTAATACTTCAAGAAATGATTACAATAGTTTTTCTTCTTCTTGGTGAAATTTGAAAAAAGTAAATTATATATGTTAGTTAAATTTGTCTAATTAGGCTTTGTTCTAATGTTATATTTGTAGTTTTAATTTACGTGATGCACCTTTTTTTTAATGTCTCAAAAAGAATATTACGTTTATATATTTAAAAATAATTAACACGTTAGGAAGTGAATCGAATATTAATAATTACTCTTTTTATTCCTTTCTATCTCCATCTACTTATCCTAAGTCCTACTTAGTGAATTTTTGGAAATAAAATTTAAATTTTTTTAGTTATATATTATTCTAATTATATTTCTATTTAGCTTTAATAGGGATGCTAAAAAGGTGATGGAAATTAGAATGACTAAAATATTAAAAAGTTTTTAAGGCGTGACAATGGGTGCACTAAGAACTAGGCCACGCCAAATTGTCTCTTTATGTATTTTCTAATATAATAAAATGACATTTCTTGTTTTAAACTATAATATTATATTTTTATAATCATAAATCATTTTATTAGAGAAATGAAACAAAATATAAGCTATCGAATAGAAGAGGGAACACAAGTCCCACAAAGCGATTACAAATTTGATTGTGTCAATTGGGATTCGTGAATTGTTGCTCTCTACGAAGCGTTTGACTTGATAGATTTCATATTATGTTAATTCGAATTTGATTAATTTATTTAGTCGAAATTTTATAATTCAATTGTTCAATTTAGAGGTTGACCTTATATAACCTAAGTTGATGATATATTTATACAATTTTTTTAACCTAAACTCTATATAGTGTCGAATCTTTCTTACTAATTAATCAGTAAAGTATAAAATAAAAAGGAAAGTTATCATATAAATCGAATAAAGAGAGTAAAAATTAACTATTAATATTATTAGGAGCACATAATTTTTTATACTACTATAACATAATTCAACGTATGTAATTTCACTTTTGGAGTCTGAAAAAGAATAGATAAACTCGAATTTTATCACTATTTCAAAAGTAAAAAAGTTATTTTTGATCCTCGATTCGAAAAACATGACTTGTCAATTGTTATATAACATGTTAAAAAATACGGAAAATAATGATAAAAGAACTTTATACTAATATAAGTAAAATACAAATTTTGGTGTTGGGAATGAGAAGGTGCATGTGAAGAGGGGTGGACCAAAAAAAACTAGAATTGAGTCAAAATATATATTTCATGTTAAAAAGGGGTCCTCATTTTGTTAATATTTATTGAAAAATACAAAAAGCTTGAAAAAAGAGAAACCTGTGGGATTTTTTGTATTTTTAGTAAAAGACTATTTGTGTTAGTCTCGATGTATGGCAATGAACCCAATGAAACAAAAAATCTACAACTAGATTCTTCTCTAAACTAAAATATATTCAATTTAGGAGCATAGAAAATAAGAATTTGATATAATTTAATAATTTTAATTTAAGATTTATTCGACTCAAGCTTAATCATATCTATGTTTTCAGTAATTACGTATTTTTATCTCTAATTAAGAGCTTTTTTTAATTATATATTGAAGAAGATGTATTTAGATATATATATATTTTTGCGATTAGATACACCAAAATAGAATGAGAGGTGAATGAGAATGCCATGTATATCAGATACATGCAAATCACATTAGATACATTCTAGATACATATATTTATATATATATAGTATCTGAGACATCAGATACATAGGAGAGTGGTGAACGATATTTGTTATGTATTCTAAATACACGTGAATCCACCTAGAATAAATTACAACAACTTTTGATCTCATTATGTAATGACTTAAGATTCATTACTCATGACTTAATTTTTGAAATTGAGTTAATCTCAAGATCCACTTTACGTTTTTCTACTCAACTCTGTAAAATATGAGGATATTGCAATAAGGTAAAAAAATAAGAAAGAAGCATCAGAAAACCTTTAAAGTTGGCACAAATTATTGTTTCGTCGTCAAACTATTGACAGCCTTAACTAAACTTAGATATATTCTTGATTTGCCAGATGACATAGCAAGTGGTCTCAAACTCTTGTAGGACCATGAGACTCTTATTTTAAAAAATCGAGAAAAATGTTGAAAACATTTCTAAACTCGACGAGAATATAGAGATGTATTTCATTGATATTACAAAATCAATATTATATTTCATTTTAGTTAGTCAAGTAAAAAAATATTCTTAAAATAATCATACCAAATTTAGAAATATTTTTAATACGTCGAGATGTGACATGACTATACTTGATTATTGGACATATGTAATGACTTAAGATTCATTACTCATGAGCTAGTTTTTGAAATTGAGTTAAGGAAAAAAAAATAAGAAAGAGGCATTGGAAAACCTCTAAAAATTGGCACAAATTATAGTTTCGGCGTCAAACTATTGACACCATTAAAAATACCTTTTTATTTGATTAACTAAACTTAGATATATCCTTGATTTGCCAGATGACATAACAAGTGGTCTCAAACTCTTATAGGAGCATGAGACTCTTATTTTAAAAATCGAGAAAAATGTTGAAAACATTTCTAAACTCGACGAGAATATAGAGATGTATTTCATTCATATTACAAAATTAATATTATGTTTCATTTTAGTCAAGTAAAAAAATATTCTTAAAACAATCATACCAAATTTAGAAATATTTTTAATACGTCGAGATGTGACATGACTATACTTGATTATTGGACATATTTATTAGATTGCTTTGGATAAGGGATCCAATTTGTTCTGAATATATAGTATGGGCCTATGGCCCATTTGTCAATTTTGATTTATTGAAAAAATAACAGTTACTACCATCTAGGCAGGAAATTAAATGGTCCAGATAAGGATCCTTTGCCATCTGTCAATTTTTTTCGATTATAAATATTATTCACTTTTTTTATAAAAAAAAATTAAAAATTACTTTTAAAAAAATTAAGAAACTTAGATTTACAAACCAATTTTTTGAAAAAAATTCTTTTAACCAATCGTGTGTATATCTTTTTTTTTTTTAAAGAATCGTCCATATCGAACACATCCTTTTGAGAAAAAAATAATCATTTCTTTCTATTTTATTCTCGATATTAATTACTTATTTCTTATATCCTTTCTCAGAACCTAAAATTATCAATTAATAGGAATAACAATTGTGCGGAGGTCAGATTTGGACAGATCATTGTGGATTAAGATAACAATCGAGTTAAGATTTAACTCAATCCAAATTTATTTTGATCAAAACCGGTTAAGTTATAGGTTATGTAATGGGTCAAGACCCAACTCAACTCAATTTTTACTAAGTTTAATTGTTTTATTTTTTCTTTTAAACTATTTAGTACCTAATAATTTTTTTCTTTATTATGGCTATATTTAACCTAAATTAAAACAAAAATTAAAAATATTTTGATAAAATTTCTTATGAGTCAATTAGAATTACATATCAATTTAATATTTAATTAAATAAAATATGTTAGAACTAGTAAATGAACAAGTAAATAACTCGCTCAGATTTAAACGAATTGAAAGGATTTGGGTTTGATTTTATCACTAATGTCAAGTAGCATAGACATTATGACAAACTACTAATATTAATAATTATTTTAAAAGATATTTAAAGTTGAAAATAAATAAGTAAAAATGTACGAAAGGACATTAAAAAAAAAAAAAATAGACCACTTTACCTAAATGATTATTTTTTCCAACCTCACATAATTATATTTGCTTAAAAGATAATTATAATATAATCTCCAATCATTTTCCTATAAATACTAACCTCTTGACATTTGTCTTCCTTCAACTAGAGAATTCTTTTTTCTTTTCTCTGAAAAAAAAAAACTAAAAAAACTAATGGCTTCCCAAAAAGTTATTACTATCATCACTACTTCCTCCGATAACTCCGCCGGAGATTCACACCCGCCGGCGAATTGTCCGAAAGGACACTGTTTGTGCTCTCCGACGACCCATCGAGGATCGTTCAGGTAATTGTAATAAAATAATCAGTGACTAAGTCAGAATTTTCATTCATTTTATAATGATTATGAATTTGTTATCAGAGAGACAGCTTCGTAATTTGAATTTTTCTTTTTAATTAATATTAATTTTTAGTTTTTACTTTTATAATTGTTAAAAATCGAACCATCATAAAAAAGGACAATAAAATCTAAGCAAGCTTCATTTCAAAATAAATCTTATATCTACGTAAATAAAATTACTAAATTTTCGAGAACTCTTACTTTAGATCCTTCTATACTTTGTTTTGTTCGTTGAAAAATTACATTATGTAAATATCGGAAGATTATGGAAAAATTACATAAAGAATATATATAAGAGAATATTTAACTTTACATATAGTGTGTGATTTTTTCATAATTTTCTTTTTTTCGACTTTTAAAATTTGAAGGTCAAACTGACTAATTTTCGATAATATTCAGGTGCAGGTACCACCGTACCTCTGGTGAGACAACAAGTGCTGCATGGTTCAAGAGATCAAAATCCATGCCTGTTAATAATAATAATAATAATAATAATAATAATAATAATAATAATAATAATAATTTGTCATCAATTTCTCCTAAGTCAGTTGAATCTACTTAAATTAAATTACTAGTAATTTGTACTTTTTCATATATATATGTTTTTTACTGGATAAATGGAAAAGTACTTTTTTTTTTGGTTTTTATTGAATATGTACAGTATATACACTTTGATATTGCTTTTTTTTTTGGCGGAATCAAAATTTAAAATGTACGAGTTATGAAATTTTCATTAGTTTATTTGAGTTATTTGTGTTACAATTAATATTCGTCTCATGATTTTTTGATCCAAATATGATACTTAAGTAGAAAAATTAAATTTGTTTGAAGGTTTATATATTTTGTCTCACAAGCTACGAGTTTGCCTTAAGTTATGTGTACATATTCGAGATGTTCATGACATGATTTGATTTAACTTTGAAAAACATTTCATTTAAAATCATTAAACATATATTTTTTCATGTTGAAATAATGTATTAGTTTAATATAAACAAACATTTATCTAAAATAATATTTAGATATTATTTAAACATTTTAAATTTTAATCTTATTCATAGACAAATGGCTCCTAATTTTTTTTTTTGAGATGGGATCAATATAATGATTCATTTTTCTTTAATGTTATTATTTTTTAAGTTTTTAATCATAATAGTATAATAGCCATTGCTTACTCAACATGTTACAATTATCATTGACTAAAAATTAATAATGGATAAGATTAATAAAAAATTAATAAGAGTGGTTGTTGAAGTTGTTTGATGTTCAACTAGTGATAATTCAAAAATAACCATTTTTTATTAAAATTCTGATTTTCAATAATTAGAAATAGTCACTCTTATATCTTTGATGAAGTTTTACTTGTAAAATTGAAAATTGCAAAATAGCGATTGTTTTTTCAAAAGTATTTAAAAATAATTGTTTTGTATTATAAACGCAAATATATATATGATCTAGACATATAAGAACATGTTTTAAATGTCTTCACACGATATCTTAACTAGATTCTTCGAGGTTTTTCGAAATAATTTAAAATTTGAGATGACTGTTTGAATTTTTTTTATATTTATCCTTCTTTAATGAAGTTTGATATTTTTTTCTAGGAGACAAGCTGCACTACTTGTAAAGCTACAGATATGATTTCACAAAGAATAATAATAGAAACCAAAAACTATAATTTAAATTATTTTCTTACTATTTTCTTATTAAGTATAAATTGTTTCACGAATTCAGTTAAATATAAATATTATTATTATTATTGTTATTATTATTATGTGGGGTAGGGTGGGTGAGAAATGACATCAATTATTGTAAACCAACTGAATAAAACATTAGTAGCTATTATAGCATGGGACCAATTTTATTATTTTTAAAAATAAAGACTCTATGGTTTCATTAACTATCACGCAATTGGAGGGAGGAAAATATTTCAAAATTATCTTCATTATTCAAAGTGGATAATACAACAATTTTTTTGTGTGATCAAATTCATTTGGTGGATATCTTAATTATAATACTAAATAAATTAAAAGAAAAAGGATAAATTTAAAATTGATAATGAATATGAAGTGAGTCACTTGATAGATATATATCATACTATAATATTAAGATGCTCTATATGTTGAAAATGACTAATGGGAAGGAAGAAATTGGACACCAAATAAGAAAATGGTGTGCATACAAATCATTCATCGCGATGGATTCTGGTGAAATAGTTCGAAAGTCTTACACTCTTAACTAAAGGTCTTAATATTCAGACCGTCCGTATCATGAATTTCTTTTGTTGAGATATTATTTTCAAGACAATCCTGATTTAATCAGGTCTTATATAGATACAATATATTAAATGAGAAATAATAAAAACAAATTAATTTCTCTCATAAATGTTAAATAAAAAGATTTTTTAATTTGAGTTTGATAACTAATTTCGTCGCGATCGATCGTGGTGATATAGTTCGGAAGTCTTACACTCTTAGCTAGAGGTCTTATATTCAAGCCACCCCTATCATAAATTCTTTTTGTTGAGACGTTGTTTTTAAGACAATTCTGATTTAATCAAGCTCTTATACAAGTGCAATATATTAAATGAGAAATAATAAAAACAAATTAATTTCTCTCGTAAGAGTGTAAAATAAAAAGATTTTTTAATTTGAGTTTGATAACTAATTAAGTAAAATATATAAGAATAAACTTTTGCTTCTTATTCAACAACACAAATGAGGAGACCAACAAAATATTATTATTCCATAAAAGTATATTATAATTTACATATTGGACACATATATATCTTGTCTAGATAACACCTCAAAGATATATGAGATCTTTTAGAATAAGGAATTATTTATTTTTGCAAAAGTTATTCAAAGAATAGGATATATTCCTAGTAGGTGATACACTTTGATAATTGAGCCACTTATTTGTCCTTATGGCCAAATAGTTGCTTCGTTTAATTTGGAGGTTTTAACCAAATTAAGCCATTATATAAAGTTATTTATCAAAATAATATATTTTTCTAAAATTTTACAGAACTAGTATAAACGTATTCCACAGTAACGTTTTAGGATATATTTTATTTTTTAAAAGTTGATGGCGTCAGATTGATATACGTTACTCACAGTAACATTTTACTCCTAAAACGTTACTCATATA